CTGATGATGGTGGAAAAATACACCGAAACGTATTTTAATTGATAAATAAAGACAATAAATGACTGAAACCCAGGAATTAATTTTGACTTGGAATTGAAACACAGCCAGGAAAGTATATACGATGATTAAATAATGTTGAATTTTCACTGGATAATTTGCTCTGACGAATTAACACCGATTTTCTCAGGTTAATTTGAACATTTAGCCCCAATCCCGAGGCACCAGCAAACAACCTGCAGAAAGTCGAACCCTTAAATTTCAGCTTCAATTTAATCCTTTGAGGGAAAGTTGTAGGACGATAATTGAAGACTGTGTGGACTTTCAAGTTGCCCAAACTCTAAAATAGAATTGTGTAAACTAATCGGGTGATTTTGGCTGATTATTTTTTAACCCAAAAAATGCTTCTATTTTGCCAACTGCGTGACTCTCACGGAATTGTCGCTTGAAATTACAGTTCCAACTTTTTATTTACATCGTTTAGTCATTCGATATCGCTCTCATCTACTTCGACGACACCCACGCCCTGTGAATTCGGTAGTTGGCTAGTCCGCTTGGGCTACTAGGTTTATTCAATAATTTAAAACTAAAATATTTATTTTAGTTTATAAAATGGATTAGGATTTGTTTGCGATAAGTATGACTATCCAGTTTCTGCACCCATTAAAAGATTTAGCTTTTCGTTAATTGACTTTTATTGTCGGCTTCTCAAAGTGCAGGCAAGTTTTCGCACTTACTGTTCTTCAATTCAAAAATTTGATATCAAATGTCTTACCGGGTGGCATCTTACTATGTGCCTGCTTAAGAGCCCATTTATTTGGTAACTGAAACTATTCATCTATTGATTTAAAAAAGTATATATTCAGTCAATAAGTTCACAATAAAACAAACAATAACAAACTAGTTCAGTTAGTTTGGGTTAACTGCTTCTAGACATTTTTGAAAGGTATTTTTAATATAAGTTGAACGGACATTTAATTTCATATTTATTACGCTTATTGCAGTGTTGTGCCGAATCAAACACGAAAATTGAATTAATAATTGCGATTGGAACAATCACGTCATCGCATAGATCTATAGATAATGCCTATAGGTAATGCAAGGACGGCGGGTATAATAAACACATTTGCATGTGCATTTTTATAATTTTCTCAGACAATTATAGTGGCATCCTCTAAATTTCTGTCTGCCACCAGCAGCCCGAGATTATCGTTGGTTGAATATCCGGATTTCTTCAGTTATCTTCAGTCGTTGGACAACACGGATTTTTCAAAAATTTGCCAAGAAAAAACAGAAAATTTATCAATCCGGCCCATAATAGAACTCGAAAGAGAAAGTCCGCGGCTTTAAGTAAGGAAAAACTCACTTTAGTAGGAAATTTCTGGCACTTTCCAGGAGTCTTTGAGCTACGAAGAGCTAGATTAATCTCATGTGATATTTTTCTATTGCCTTTTTTCACTCTTCTAATTACCGGTGCCTCCAATAACAACAGCATGAGCGTAATGAGAGAAAATCCAGGGAAAGCACAACCTTTAACTTCCCAAGCCACACCGGAGAGCACTAAAAAATCAAGTTCTATATGGACAATCGCTCGTATCGCTTGGCCTCTTTCAGCATCGCATCGCCCAGCTCGGGGGCCAATTTCAAAAAAATTTCTACTCCTTATTTCTGTCTTCTTGGTTATTATTTTCAACGTTAAGTAAAAATTTGTGTAACGCTGAACAGGAGCACTGGAAAGAACTAATGTTTTTTGTTCTCCTTTTAGCATACCATTTTTACTGGGTAGCTTTGATCGTATTGCAAAAATATGCACTAAAACTACAATAAAAGTCGTAAATAGCCACAAATATGCTTTATTGAGTTATGATTTTGGAGCTATACAAGACATGTGAACATGTCGGAAGTGGAGCTTTGCTATAATATTAGATACGTGCGTAGCAGATATATGCGATAAATAGGGCAACTAGATGAGTTTCTAGGCAAAGTTAACAACCAAAATATAAGTTAAGTGGAGGAAGAGCGTGCAACATCCCTAATAAGACATTTAATTAATTGTAGACAAATAGCGAGGTCCAGGAAGGTAATACATTATTTTGGACAAGGAGTTCCGGTATGTAGCGCTTATCTGAAACATTCAAATGGTCTCCAAAATATTCGAAAAAATGTGCAACAATAAAGTTTCGTATACATTCAAAATGAGCACGTTTTTATGTTTTTAATCATCAACTGGTTACTAAAGGAAATTAACATTAGAACAAGTTTCATAGTCGTGAAAATAGCAGACCTGAACATGAACTATAATTTAACTAAATTCAAACATTTCGGAATTTTTCCAGGATGTAAACGATTCATATTTCGCTATTTTTGCAGCCAACGCTACACATTGCGAATGGTTAATGTATGTTTTTAACAATGTTTACTGGTGCCACCCCATCAATAAACGAAAAAAGTATCTTCCGGTGTTGAATTTTTCACTTAATCAATTTATTAAAGTAATCGCTATTAACAAATTCGATATTGCAAATCATCTTCCTTTTGTCCATGACCTTTGAAAATGTTCATCGTTTAACGTGTGAAAATCGCCGGACCGCGACTGAAGTGAATTGAAACGAAATATTGCAGCCAGGCGGGTATCATGATATAATTATTAGGTATATGGGGTAACAGCAATATTTCTCCAGAAAATGTATCCAAGAACTAAACGGGTGATTGTCTACTGATAAACTGGAGCTACATAAAATGGAACAGTTTGAAAATGTGGTCTAGATAAACTACCTCATCTTCTTAACGGCAGCCAGTCTCGTTCTGATTCGTCGTCTTCATTCCGAAACTGTAACAAAACAAACGATTATCAAATCAGTTGATCATAATCAATTTCTACTTAATTAAATACACACTTTAAAAGGACCAATGGAACATTAAAGGGGGGTTTAAGCAGTTGACAATTAATGGAACCGTAATAAAATCAAACAGCTCGCTCTAATTTAAGACAGCACATTTAATTAGTAACACTGTTGATATTTAAGATAGACCGGGTAATAAAATACCCGAACGATTCGTAAAGATGAAAGTGGATATCGCATGAGAAATTTAATTAGAGAACCTCATTTTAATTGCAATTCAAAGCGCGTTTATACTCAATCATTTAGCTAATCTGATCATTTTCGAATCAACATAAACAGCACTATGAACAAATGAACACCTACTGGTTTCGTAGCAGTCGAGTCATTCAGAATCTCAATAATTACATGTAAGAATGGGCTTCTCATAGGTATACTGAGATCCTACTTTTTACCGTTTTGGAAAAAAAATGCAATTTGACCTAGAAGAGCGTCACGCTGCTCAAAACTGGAAGAAACGAACTGCGACAACATACATTTACAATTTAATCCGCCCATTTAATAAGAACGGCATCCAAACCCCATCACTTTACATATAAGAAAAATTGTATTTAAAGTTCAATATTGCTTTCATTTAATTTTTAAATTAATTTAACGATGTTACAACAAAAAACTAAATGGAAATTTCTCTCGCTAATTTGATTTCCTGAGATAGAAGTAAAAATGGAATCAAATATCTGATACGTTCGGAATTTGCTCAAATGCAATTATTTGGCTGTGTTTAGATATTCTCATTAATTTAGTTGAATCTTCCGCGGAATGTGCAAGTCCAATTAGTTCAACGGCGAACCTTATGAAAACGGTAACCTGAAAATAACGAGTGTATGAAAAGTGTAACTTTTTCCTGATGCAATTCGAGCCTAAACTAATAATCCATCCCAAATTAATATGATAATGAGATTCTTTGAAACTGTTCCCGACAACGCGAAACTTTTACCGGACCAACGACATCAAATTTAGCATTTTGATGATTAAAAGTTAATCTGGTTCGTGTTTGGAAAATAGTCGTGTTAAAAAATTTCTCCCATAATTATATCGACCGTAAAAAGTGAAATCAAGTCCAAAGTTGCTAAATAACTATGTTTTTGGAGTACAGGCATATCAACATTAGGCAAATTGTTGCAGTATCAGCCAGTGTCTCAAATCTGGTTCTTCTGGCTTTAAGTTTGCCACTTTGATTTGCGCTTGTGACAATTTTTTCCGCTTTTATTTTCTATAATTATTACTGATTATGACTCTCTCTCTCTTTCAGATGTTACGCATATTAAAATGTCATTATTAACAATTACTCCTGCTCTAAATGTTCATAGCATTGCAGTAAGTGTTTTTTGTGGCATTACACCGATTTGGTGGTCAAATTATTTGACAATTGGCCAATTTATCTAATGTGTATCACATACATGTGATATACAGGGTGTCCCACCGGGAACCGCCGCGATCGATATCTTGCAAACTGTAGTCAGGAGAAATTTGAAAATTGGACAGTGTGCGAAAATATTGGCAACGTGGCCACACTTCCGGTTATACCGGAAGTAAGTATCAACTTATTTTAAATGGAATGGAGACCCTATA